CCATTACATCTCGATCCATTTCCTCTCTATATATATATATATATAATAAAATAAACTACTAATTACTACTTGTACTACTATTCTTACTATGCAGTTTTTCACTTATCGCGGGGCTTCAGGATACGGATCCCCCACGATAAACAAGGAACTACTGTACTTCATTTCTGAAAACCTCTGGTAAATACAAGACTGTTGGTTAAAGTTAGGATAACGGTCTGGTCAAATTCCTGTGAGGTCTACTGGTGCTGGTTATTAAATAAATATAATTATTCAGTCAACATCTATCGTTGATGTATGCTGTAAAGAGAAACAGCAGCAATTATAGTAAATATCTATAATTAATAGACGTAAGTGTTAAGAGTTAACCGTTTACTTCGTTTATCTCGTCCACCTCGCTGGTGTACCTGATCATCTCCGTCCACCGCACAGCTTCCTGCAGCTCCATCAGTCGCTCCTTGTACTGATTCCTCTCCATTAAAACTCGAGCCATTTCCACTCTGGTGAAGCGTTTCCTCTGAGCCGTGGGCACCTCGCTCTGTGACAAAACAAAACAAATACAGTAAATAACCGTCCTCGTTTCAGGAACTGAAATGCACAAATTTTGTTGGAGTTATGAAAAAGACTCACATCTTCTTCGTCTTTGTTTTTCTGTTTCACTTCCTCCACCTCCAGTCGTACTCTGGAAAAGATCATTCATTCATTTTGAAAGATAAAGACATTTTTTGGGGACTGCCTAAAGGCAGCCACCTATTATTATCCACCTGAAAAGTGTCTCGCTCTTCCTTCAACTTTAATGTGTCCCGAACCGCAATGTTTACCCTCACAAATGTTATATCAAAACGAACAGCTCGGCACCGTGATGTGTATTATTGCTTTTATAATTAGAATTAATCCATTATAGGTTTTATTTTTTTGTTTTGTTTTTTGAATGTCCAGAGGACCAGATTTAACTTTTTTAGATTACTTTTATTGTTGTTTTGAGTTACCATGGCGACATAATTAGCAAACAAAGATGCCCTTTTTCTTATTGAAAAACACAGACAGAACTCTTAACAGCCTCCAATTGCCACAGTGAGGTCACATGACCTAGACGGAAGACGTCTGAACAAAACACTTGTGAACTTTTGGAGCCATTTTGGTTCAAGATGGCTGCCTACCTCAGAAAACTCCAAATTGACTATAACTCAGTCATTCTTTGAGATATTGAGCTGAAATTCGATATGGTCGTAGCTGAGAGTGAGTTGTTATATGTTCCTAATGCAAACTAAAAATCCAAGATGGCCACTTTAGCAAAAAGTTAAAAAATATGCTAAAACTGAGCTGAAATTTGGTGTGGTGGTAGCTGACGGCGATGCACAACACATTCTGAATTCAAATCTAAAAATTCAAAATGACCACCGAAGTCAATTTCAAAGCTGAAATTTGGTATGGTGGTGGCTGAGAGTGAACCCCTGCACATAGTACTGTAAAATATATATTTATTAAATGGCTGCAACGTGGCAGTCCTTTTCAAAGTTTCTCCAGGAACTTTCTAGTTGATTTGCTTGTAATTTATAAGTTTTAATCATAAAGGTCTTAAAGTTGTTTTTGACTGACAAAAATAATATTTAGTTAAATATTTGATCAAATCCTCTGAACAATTAGTTTTTAAAGCCGAACCAAAGTGGTTTTATTTTGGTGTAAAATGCTCCATAAGTGGTTCCTGTGCTCTCTTACTTTTTGAGCTCGTCCTCCAGCTCTCTGGTTTTCTCCTCCAGCTTGTTTTTGGCCTGAAGCAGAGCCTCTAACTCCCCCTGCAGCATCTCCCTCTCGCAGGTTAACTCGTCCACCCTCAGGATCAGGTCTTTGTTCACCACGTTTAAGGCGTTCCTACAAAATAAAATGCAAAAAAAAAAAAAGGAACAAACTCACAACATATTCAAACAAAAACCAAGCATTAGGAGAGTTAAAACAGCCGTCCTCACTTTGTTTCAAGCAGTTGTGAATTCTCCTGGATGAGATTTTCAACTTCCCGGCCCATTCCTGAGCAAGAGTGGGAACAAAATTAGTTTAATTGAAGGAAATAAGGAAAGAAAAATTGACGACACATGAAAGCTATGACTACTTTAGCACTACAGAGATGAATTCACGCTAACGTAAGGAACCCAACATGGTACAAAGATGTAGAAAGATCCTAATAACTGCAGGTTTGACAAAACAGCAAACTATCACAGCAAACAAAAGAAGCTACAGCACGAGTCACATGACTGACAGGAGAAGAATGGAGAGAGTGGGCGAGCTTCTTACCAATCAAACTAAGGTCTGAGAAAACCATGCAATCCAAGTCAGGCGGGAGAGTAGGACAGAAAGAAAGAGAGAAAGAAATGTGGATACAGTTTGAGACAGTGAAATGACCAAAACAATGAAGGAGCCAGAGCTAAATGTGAAGCAGCTGACTCCAAACGTTGCAGCAGTTAAACACAAGGAGAAAAATCCAACAAGGGTAAAAAAAATTACTTCATAAAATAATTATTACAGCTGCAAAAGAACCTTTAAAAACCATCATCCATGCGTAAAATTATGTTCAAACGATGCTAGTTGTGCACTAACAGTTGTCAAACATAAAGAAGACGAAGCTTTGAGGTGGGTTATGAAGGAAGGGTGGAAAGGAGTTCAAGGGACATCACAGAAAAATGTTTTGAAGTTGAGAAAACTTTTTGGAGGTCATACACACCAGAGTACTCCACTGGGTTTATGGACAAGAGCCAGAGAATGAGATACAGGAGAGAAAAGAGGTGATGTTAACATGAGCAGAAGTGAGCAAACATCAGCACAAAGAGTGGCGTGGCAGCGAGGAGCAGGAGCTGGAGGTACAATGTTGTGACTAAGAATGAGATCTGCTGCTGGTCAGCTTATTACTGCTGCAATTCGGTAAAACAGACTCACAGCTGGAAAAAAAAGCACAAAACAATCAGTAGCTGCACATTGAAGTCACGTCTTTCTGCATATATTGATACGTTTCAACTGGTTCAGCTACATGAAAATGTTTCAAGCCTGGTTGTAAAAAAACGTGTCAACATTTAACCTTTTTTTTAACCCAGTGGTATAAATGAACTGAAACATGACGTCAAAAGGTCTTTGTAGTAAAACATGTAATACGTAAAGGCCACTTGAAAAAGGACAACAACAAAAAAACTAGTTTCAAAGCAATAAACAGAAAAAATAATTATATCATATTAATTAAAAATAATAATAATAATAAAGTTTCCATTTTATTTTGCTTCTCAAGACAACCACATGCTGACTGTTAGGAAAAGTTTTGAAGCAATCTAACCAGCAATGTCGATCGTCTTTAACTTTAACACACCGTGACACGTTTGGAGAGTGAAACTTTTAAACTGCACCACAATAAAGACTCCCAAATTAATGTAACGTTTTCATCCAAACAAATAAAAACTATGCTAGTACCATATTTCCCAGGCTATACATCGAAAAAATGCATCATGAAGAGAAAACAACAAAAAATGTATATATATATATTATATATATATGTTATACAAAAAAGTCGCTGCGGAGTATAAGTTGCATTTATTTAGAAGTGTATTTCACAAAGTGCATGAACAGACATTTAATCTGAAATAACAATAACACACGGGGGCGGACTGACCGTCCGGATTGCTGGGACATTTCCCGGTGGCCTGGCCCGCTCAGTGGTCACCGTGGGGACTAAAGGCTCTCTTTGGGTCACACTTTATTATTTTAAATAAACAAGCTGCTCTTGCCTGGTCTCACTGAAGCTGCAGCAGCTATGGGGAAAGACAGCCCCCCCCCCCCCCGGGCCCCCTCCCTTCCTTTGTCTGAGTCTGTCACAGCAGAGACACAGGTTGCGGACACACCCCCATGGACTTATGCTCCCGACAGTTATATGTTTGTGCACGGCGCGCACACACAGAACATACCTCGGCTTCTGAACAAGCCTAATTAAGAGAACAAGCCAACAAGTCCAACAAGCAAGTTACCATCCTTGGTGTCGCTTCTGAACAACTTCGTTAACTCCAGAGGAAGAATGGGGGGGGTAGCAGAAGAGGAACAACATATAGTTGTCAAAAGCCTAGAGGGCCCTCTCGCAGCTGTAAATGTTAATGTTTTTTTGTCTTTGGTTCATGTCAGTATGAAAGAACATTTAACATGTAAGTCAAAAATTGTGTCATGAATAAAGAGAAAAAAAACGTATAGAAGTCACTTTGCATTATACATCACAGAACTGGTAAAACTATGAAAAAAAAAAAAGTGACTTATAGTCTGAAAAATATGGTACTTGTTTTCAAAACAAGGTTTAATTATCAATGAGCCAAAAATTTAAATGGAGCTTCTTTGGAAACCAATAAATATAGTAAATATTAAAGACAAGGGGCTGATAAAATGATCAATTCAAAAAATGTATATAAAAATGTTATTTGTACACAGTTCAGATTATTATCCTCAGTAGATTTTGCAGAACTTCTCCTGTAATTGGCCAGTTTTTTACTCACCGAGCAAATCGGCCCCTTCGTCTACGTCCCCAATGAGCCCGGTGCCTGCAGAGGACAGCTCCTCGAACAACGAGTCTGTGTTCCGGTCAAACGCCATGTTTTCAATACCTTTAGTGGGAGTACTGAAAGAGTAAAAAGCAACAGGAGGAGATGTTATGGCCCACAGTGAAACCGGTTCAAACCACCCTCGGTTCTGTGTTCTACCTGCAGGGTTTGTATGCGATGAGCTCCATGTCCAGCTCAGGAGTAGACTCAATGATACCTTTCACATCAGCGTTTTCCTCACTTTCAGGCAAACCTGCACATCACAGAGCATGTATGAGAAGAAACAAATGTGCTGGCTGACATCAGGGATTGGATGGATTTAAATGTCTTAAACTTTAATGAGTAGAAGACAGAAGTCATGTTGTTTCCTCCTAATGGAACAATCAAGAGCCACTGTATGGATCTTTCCTCTCTAGCCCCGTTAGAGAAACAAAGAGTCACTAATCCGGGAGTGAAATGGACCCCTCCATGAAACTAAACAGTCAAACATCAGTTAAATCCTGGTTTTTTTTTAGTTGAGGCGACTCTAAATTGAAGCCCATACTGTCCAAAACTAACCTTGAGACAGTAGTAAATGCTTTCATAACATTCAGGCTTGATTACTACAATGCAGTTCTTTTTAGAATCAAGTCAGACCTCCACTGCACGTTTACAACTGGTTCAAAATGCCGCAGCCCAATTTTTAACTGGTACAGGCAAAAAAGAGCACATTATTCCACTTCTGGCCTCCCTTCACTGGCTCCCAGTTCACTTTCAAATTCATTTTAAAATACTTCTGTATGTTTTTAAACCTCTGAACAGTTCTGCCCCCTCCTATCTTACTGATCTGCTGCAGCCATATGTCCCACAGTGCTCTCTGAGGTCAGCAGACCAGATGCTTTTATTCGTTCCCGGCACTCGTTTTAAGCTCTAAGGTGACCGGGTCTTCTCTGTTGCAGGTCCAAGACTGTGGAAAGAGTTACCACTGCATGTCAGGCAGGCTCCCTCTCACTGTTTTTAAGTCTCGTTTGAAAACACACTTTTATTCCCTGTCGTTTGACACTGTGTGAGTTGATTGTAACTTGTCTGTGTTCTATAATTTTAGTCATTTAGTTCTTGTCTTTACCTATTTGGATCTCTGTATATTTTCTAAGTCCTTCGCTTGTTTTGATTTTGCTGTACAGCACTTTGGTTGGCCTTGCTGCTGTTTGTAAGTGCTTTATAAATAAAGTGGTATGGAAATAACGGAAAACATTTTTTTCTATAAAAACAGTGAAAGAAATGCCTGAAAAAGAACGTTTAACCTACCCACTGATATGGTTCTGGTCCCCGGTGCAGCCTGCACCTCTGTACTCTTACTGTTCCCATCTTTCCTCTCCATGTCTGAGTTTATCTGGGCGGCTGACTTGGAGCTGGTGAAGTCCGACAGTTCATCCTAAAACGTAAATCAGACTTGCTTACCGAAACATTAAGAGACGTTCATAAGATTTAAACACCTTTAATGAACAAAATCTAAAATGACAACAAAAATATGTTGGATCACAACAGAACAACACACGAGAAACAACAACACAACAAAACTGGTAAATATGAGGCGTAGAACAAAAGGCACAAGACTCAAAACTACAATTTCTTCTATCCAACCGTTTTATTTTCTGCAGAAAAACAAAAGAAACGAGGACAAAGACCCTGGACATTTAGCTGAAACACAGAGGGGGAAATGTTTGGATGCAACTGGAGCTCAAGCAAACAGAAAGTAAGATTTAACTCGTGGGTTTAACTTGTACATCACATGTCATGTCACACAGTGTCGACGTGAACAACGCAGAGCGGGAACACAAACGTGACTGCACAGGCTGCAGAGAGCGTAACACAACATCACAACAACAGTGAGAACTACAGTTCCAACTCTACAAAACACAAATACAAAGAAGTTAAAAACCTACTAAAATGAAAGTCCACTGAAAACTAAAACACTGGCTGTAGATGTTGTTAGTGCGCATGACGACTAAAGCTAGAAATCTACAAGAATGAACAAAAATACAAAAGCAAACATAAAACCGACCCATTTTTAAAGACATAAACAAAACAAGAGGCCAGATGCAACTAAGCCGTCCCATCATTAACAGATGGCACGTGGTTGAATGTGGCTCTGGCGATCTATGAGGTGGTGGTGGGGTCTATAAATGGATGACGTATGAAACGGCACAGCGAGAGGAAACTACGGCCCAGAAGCCCACACACATGCACACACGAACAGTGCCGTCCAGAGCAGCAGCGCCGGCGATCATCCAACTACCGGTTACCTTGTAGTCGTCCGCCAGCGAATTCCCCCAAGCAGGGTCCTGCGAACTCTTACCCTCCCTTTCCTTTGGGGGGTCGGCAAAGTCCAACTGCTTAAGGGAACGGGGCGGGGGGAGAGTAAGAATGAAGCTTGCACGTGCAGAAGCAGTTCAACAGAAATGCATCCACCCATAAGTGTGCATGAGACTGTGGAGTGAATGGACAACTCTGTAAGCTGATGTGTGTGTGATTACTGGTTATTTAGGGATTATTCATCTAACATTGGAAATACTGTACAAGTAATTACTATTTTACTAATAAAAAAAATGGCCTAATTACATATTGATGAGCTGCAACCAATCTAATAATACTTGTTTTATTTTGTCAAGCCTCTAGGCTTCTCAAAATGTAAAGATTTAAGGATCCTTCTTAGTTCAATTCAGAGCTGCAAAATATTAAATACTGAATATTGTGATGGTGATATAAGCTTTGATTAACACCAACATTAGTCTAGAAGCTTCAGAAATACGTGGGCTGTTATTTTGACATTAATGCACTTTTTGCTTTCATTTTGAACTTAGAGACCATGAGAGGTCAGTCGTTGTTGGTGTGAAGTCTTTTTTTTTACATCAAAACCTGACAAAATTCAAATTCAAATTCAAAAATACTTTATTAATCCCAGAGGGAAATTAAATAATGATCAAATGATCAAAGCAGTCCACACATCATCTAAAACACCCTCTTTAAGTTCTTGTTAGTCTATCTGTCTACATGAAGCTTGTGTTTGGTTAATTTGAACGTTTTCTGCACCAAAAAAAAAAAGTTTTTTCCTGAAGTATATTTCTATACACTATATTTCACAAGTGCGGCTTTTTGATTAGATAAATGTAGATTTCCCTGACTGCCTCATAATGTTCTGTCATGGCGCTCACCAACATGTTTTAGCATCTCAGCCATTATCTGAACACGATGTGGCGCCACATAAACATTTTTAATCACCATATCTGATCTAGACCTTTTTAAATCTCGCCTAAAAACATTTTTAGGTTTAAACAGCTAGTGGCATTTGTGTAATGTTCTTATTAATCGTCTTAACTTTTATACTGTGAAGCGCTTTGACTGGTTGTTTAAAGGGCAGTATAAATAAGTGTTGATTGATTGATTGGTTGATATTTTCCTAAAGTAAATGTTGCTTCAATTTTAACAAAACATATTTTTTTCTAATCTATAACCCAAAACTTTCAGTTTGTTTACTTGTGGATTCTTGAAATGGATTGTTTTCATTTTATTTACTTCTGGTTAGTTGACAGTATTTTTAAGTAAATACTGAAAAAAAGTTTATTTTAACAGAATTATATGTTGCTCGTTAAAAAAAAAAATGCATTTAGCAAGGTACGAGACAATTAGCAACCACACCAACAATAAATGTTTATCACATTATAATTCTTAAAGTTTATTATTATAATAGTTGTTTTTAAAATCTAAATGTTTGTTCTGAAAATATATTTGCGTATATGCTTATCACAGTGACAAAACTATATTTGATGTTATAATAATATAAAACAACAGTGGTGTCAAAAGCCTTTTGTTTACATGTAATTTGTATGATTTTAGTTAGATATGAAAATACTTTTATAACAAAATATATTGTAATATATTAAAACACAAACATGTGCTAAAATAAAAATGTTGTCATGTGATTTGTTTTATTTTGCATTACATATTTTAGTAATAAAAACAAGTAATAAAATGGTAAAATAATAAAAAGGTCAAAAAGTAAATACAATAAAAATTCTGTTATGAAACATGGAAACAAAAATGTGAAATGTTCAACTTTGTTAATTGCCAAACTAGTTATTAAATGTACATTTTTAAGATTAGCTACTGTAAATGGTATTTTGTACATTTTTACTAGGACTCACTTTGTTTTAATCCAAATAAAACGCAGTGATTGTGAAAACATCAATATTTTCCCAGTTTGCTGCAAATGAAAAGTTTTTACGTGCATGTATGAATCATTCAGCATGAACGTTAAACATGTCCGACATGCAGTCACATGCACGTAATAAATCTAAATAAACTGCATCTTATAAATAAACTGGATGTTTCTGTTGACAGGGCGTTTGCATTAACGAGCCACATGTTTTTAAAAACGTCTGAGCCTCAACAGCACCAGTCCTGCAACAGTGATTACATAAGGTCGCAGCGAGCTCGTCTCTTCAGAGACCGGCTGTGTGCTCTATATCTGCATCACTCCCATCATGCATTGCGCCGCACAGCTGATGTCCCAGTTTAAACAAAAATAAGGACGGAACTAGCATTACAGCTGCTACAGATGCTAACACGTTGATAAAAACCTGTTTTACATAGAAAACAGCTACGGTGTAGCAAAAAGAAAAGCACAACTGACAAATTGAAAGATCAACGTTAGAATAATAATTAAAAAAAAACACAATTTCATATGAATTTGAGTGCAAAACGTAAATTCAATCACAAGTAAATTTAATAACAGCTAAACAGAAAATGCTAAGATACATGAATATTTATGTTCATTTAATTATCTCCTGTGAATGCTGCACCGGAGGAAGTCTGAATGAGCAGCCAGAGGAGTCTGGAAACAGAGGTGGTTTTGTGCGACGCCAACTAAAATACACATTAGTGCACGAGTCTCATCAAAGGACCTGCTATCTGAAATGGATTAAAGCCCAACGCTCATCTATCTTCACTGCTGCGGTACAACTTCAAACAGGCAGGAAATGTGATGCTCTCCATATCTGATGCGTTTCTAATGTTAGGACAACTCATGAAGAGTTACTGCGTTGGCAAGAAATAAATCCAGGTGGTTTTAGCTTTTAAATAAAAACACATATTTTTTGTCAGAACTTTAAAACAAACATTATTTAAGTTGGACCGAAGTGCACTGCAGGTCAACTATCATTACCAAATGCCTCGATGAGTCATCGTGAAGGTATCGTCGCTCTCAACCACGTATGAAATTCTCCTCTGACGACAAATAATCAGCGAGGCGCCACCAACACACCCACCTTAAGACTGGCGTTGGAGCGCACCTGTGAAGAGTCCGTGAACCTCCAGCCCTCCGTGCCCGGAGTCTCCGCTCCAGCGTGGGAATCTGGGATTAACAGAGATGCTCCTCCAGAGGAAGGAAAAATCCCCAAAGAGAGAGGCCGCTCTCTCCTTCAGAGGAGAAACCAAAAGGCAACATGTTGGAAGAAAAGGTTTACTGTGATCGTTGCGCTTTACAACAGGAGCTCGTCGCACCTGACTCGACCGACGCTGCTCGACTCGGACGTCTCACTTATCTGCTGCATTTTGATCCTCTCCACGTGCTCCATGTAGTTATGGATCATCTGCAGAGACAAATAAAAACTTGTCACGAGTTCTGTTAAAGATAACAATTCACCTTTATTCCCCCCTGCGCCTCCTTTCCATCGTACCTCTGAGTGCCGCTGATGGAGGGAGTTATACTCCTTTTTTAATTCTACCTCTCGTTCTTCTAACCTGCTGACTGAAACAGACAGAAATATCCCAGTTTAAGATGGTTATTTTTCAAGATGCACGATGAAAAATTACAAAAGAAAATACAGCAAAAAGTGGAATTAAAAGCATTAAGCAAATTTCTAAGCTAAAACATTAAATTTAACTTAGTAAAATGCCAAATTGTTCACCAAATTGTTAAAAAAAAAAAAGATTAATTGCGAAATAAATCTGAATATTTTCGAGGGACAGGGACTTTATGAGGCAGAAAGAATGATCTTGTCAAAAAGGTTTTAGTGCTGAGCTGACTTGCACAGTGACAAAAACATCTAATCCTCTATTAGAGCCTCAGCTTTAGCCTAAACCCCACTTTGAGCTGCACACTGATATTCAGTTTAAAGCTTAAATACTATCAATTACAGCAGCTAAAGCTTCTGCGTGTTGTCTCATGGCGTTTCGCCTCGGTGTTTATTTGAGCATCACGGAGGGAGTTTATTCTGCCGGAGTGACTCATCAAATTTCTGCAGACAAACTAAAAAAAGAGAAGAGGGACCAGTCCTGGGCGTGTGTTAGCAGATATGATAAATCACTGTGGAGAAGATTAATGAGGCTAAATATTAATAATATGATGCATTATGTATGTACTGTCTGAATGGGATGCTTAAAAATAAAAAGTCGCAGCTGAACCCCCTTTAGCTTTGACTGCAGCGTGTAAAATAGTTGCAACAGGCTTAAAGCAAAGTATATTTCCATCTACAGTAGAAACAATCCATGTGCAAAAATGATGTCATGCGATTCCTGAACTCAATATCTGAGCTTAATAAATCTAAGCATTGACGATTTGTAATACAGAATGACTGAATTAAAAGAGAAGTGAAAAAACAGCTAACCCTGTTCATTCGATATATTCAGTGGTCAGATAAAACAAATTGGTACACAGCTCGTACAGTAGGCAACAAACATGACGCTTTTTTATTTTATCTGTCCTGACTAAAACTATAAGATATCACTGAAAGAGGGCAAATCTGGAATTATTAGATCACATGACGTTTTTTCATTTATCTACTTTATTCTTAACGTCCCAGACAAACTGAACACTTTTAATATGTCTTATTGGTGAGATAACTAGTTACGTGGTTTTAGTGCTCGGGATATCCATCCATCCATTATCTTTTACCCGCTTCTTCCAATTTGGGTCACGGGGGTCGCAGGTGCCCATGTCCAGCAATCACTGTGTGAGGGGCGGGGGACACCCTGGACGGGTCTGCAGTCCATCACAGGGACACAGAGAGACAAAAGAGACAAACAACCATTCATCCTCTCACTCACACCTAGGGACAATTTAGAGTTACCAATCAGTCTAACATGTTTTTGGTCTGTGGGAGGAAACCGGAGTACCTGGAGAAAACCCACGCATGCACGGAGAGAACATACAAACTACACACAGAAAGGCCCCCGGACCAGGATTGGAACCAGGGACCTGCTCGCTGAGAGGCAGCAGCTCTACCAGTTGTGCCACCGCGCAGCCCGTGATCGGGATGTTTCAAGTTTTAATTTTCCAGTCACATTTCCTCAACGATGGCTCAAATATTTCCGTTTTCAATTTTGAACTGGGGAATTTTTCATCTAAATTCATCAGTTTCTGCAGTTTTTTTCTGTTTGATCTTCCTTCTTGCCTGTTCCCTCTTCAGGGGTCGCCACAGCGAGTCATCCTCCTCCACCTCACTCTGTCCTCACTCCAACTACCTCCATGTCCTCTCTAACTGCATCCATATTTCTCCTCTTTGTCTTTTTCCTGGCAGCTGCATTTCTAACATCCTTCTACCAGTATACCCACTGTCCCTCCTCTGGACATGTCCAAACCATCTCAGTCTCTAACTTTTATCTCCCAGTTGTTCAACATGTGCTGTACCTCTGATGATCTCATTCCTAATCTTATCTATTCTTGTCACTAAGGAGAACTTCAACATCTTCGTTTCCACCACTTCTAGTTCTTTCTCCTGTCTTTTTGTCCATGTCTCTGTCTCCAGACCATACAATATAGCTGGTTTCACCACTGTCTTGTAAACTTTTCCTTTGACCTTTGCTGACACCTTTTTATCACAAATCACTCCTGAAACTTTTCTCCATCCACTCCATCCTGCCTGGACTCTCTTCTTCACCTCTTTACCAAACTTCTCATTTTCCTGGACAGTGGACCCCAAGTACTTGAAGTCCTGCACCTTTGTGACCTCTGCTCCTTGTAGCCTCACTGTTCCACCGGCCTCCCTCTCACTCACACACATGTCCTCTGTCTTACTACAGCTGACTTTCATTCCTCTTCTTTCAAGTGCATACCTCCACCTCTCCATGTTCTCTTCTAACCCTGAGTGCTGAACCGTGTTCTGTGCAGTATTTCATGTCAATAAAAGACTCCTACTGGTTTGTTTAGTTAAATCCAGGTGGTGACTTTTTTTTTGTTAGGCAGCATGCCAGCATCTGTTTACATCTGCATTATGTGTCAGTCAGTGTAATTTAAGCAGGCATTTCCCTGAGGTCTTTAATTAACACAAAACAGCAACAAACATCAGAATAATTGATTAATCTGGGTCTTAAACTCAGTCTAAAAATCAAGACAAGAGATTTTTTTAATGACCGATGCTGATTTTGAGCAACCAGGGCACAACATCAATTATTTTATTTCTGGTCAGTATGTGGTTTTTATTCAACAAAAATAAAAAAGTGGTCTACTTCAAATCAAGACACCTTTTTAGAAAAAAGCTCAACGCTTCAGACATACATTAAACTATGAAGTTTTTGTGGATAATATATGAAAATACATAATTTATGTCTAATTAATTGAGCTCTTTTTATTAAGCAAACACAGAGAGTTTAACAGAATGATTCTGGTCTTTTTAAATATTCATACATGTGAAATTATTTCTTTACAGGCACATGCGCAGGCAGCTAAAAGCTACAATCATCCACCTTCGATGGTGTTATGAGCTGGCTCACAGCAGCATGGATGGACTATGACTCCATGATAATCAGATCAGGTGCTTCAACATGCAGGAGTGAATGAATGATTCACCTCAGGGAGTGGCGGAGATTTAATTTCAACCATTACAAACAAGCCAAACTCTTTATTTACTCAGGAGAATAAACACTTCCAAACTGCATTTACTAGACTGAATCTACTACTTCTGTATAACCTGTCTGTGCTTTTATTCAAATTCAAGGAGAAACATGTGAGGAGGAGATCATTTTTCTTTCTTGTTTCAACTTTAAGTGCATGACTCAGTTTAACCAGCTCTGCTGCTCCGCCGCTAAACCAGTCAGTGTGTGACTCCACATTTTCCAGCAAGACCAAATTTAGGAGCCAGTTTCATTGCCTGAGCTGTTTAATCCAACAATAAACTAAACTGTAATGCAGCGTCACATGAAGAGATGGAGTTTAGTATTTGCCCTATGGTACTGGCCTCGACAGGCGTTAGCAGAGCGCTACGCTACCGATGCTAGGTCGAAGCCGAAGCGACCGGTTCTTGCCAACAATCTTTGCTCCCTGGCCATTAGCAGACCTTGCAGTGATTGCGGGGGGGTTGGAACTTCGTTAGACAGGGTGCTTGGTTCTGTTGACAGGGCGGGGCACCCTCCTTGGATAATGATAGACGAAACGATGAGAATAACATCCTATAATCCTATTAGTGTCCATAAAAACAGCAAGAATAGTGAATGTATATGTTAGTACGTGTGTGTGTGTGTGTGTGTGTGTGTGTGTGTGTGTGTGTGTGTGTGTGTGTGTGTGTGTGTGTGTGTGTGTGTGTGTGTGTAGCAGGGTGTGGATGGGGGGGGGATTAGTTTTTATATTAAAATGGAGTCCCACACCAGACAGGAAACCACCATATAGGGACTTCCTGCAAACATAAAGGACAAAAATGTTGTCCCCACATGCAAAAAAAAAGTGATTTTCAAGGGTTAAGACTTTGACATTACTACATCATCTGCATACATTTGGACATTAGCATACATCTGGGGAAGGAAATAATTCAAAGTTTAGATAAAACAGGTCTGAGAACAGTCAACAGAGTCTTCCTGGTCCATATAAAGATATTCTTACTCTGGTCTGCAGAGTTCTTGATCTTGAGTTCAAGCTGACGGGAGTTGGACTCCATTCTGTCCACAAGGTTCTGCAGATCCTTCTTCTCCTGCTCATGAGTGTCTTCAAACTCGATAAACTTCTACTCAAACACACAGAAAAAAATAACAAACCTTAGTCAAGACTCACAGGCTTCCAATTAAAACCCATAAAAACTTATCTACCGTTCAGAATCTGATGGTGTTTAAGGCAAACAAGTACAAGTACTTTGTATTTAAAAATCTGAAGATAAAATGAAATACAAAAAAACACTAATACATCAGTGAAAGGATAATTAGTAATATTTATGTTATGAAAATAGAACCGTCTTGTTGTAATAATAGGATTTTCTACACGAGTTTTGTTTTTTAAATGACAGATTTGAAAATAAAATGTTCATAAATGTCACTTCCTTCCAGCTTCTTTCCCCGAACAGGAAAACATTTGTGTTTGTGTGAGTCTACGTTCACATCCTGTGCAGCTGGGCAAGCCAAGGCCCTAATGTGTCTCTCCTTCTTCCTGTGGGCACAAAACTCTTCACGTGCTTTGATGCGAAAGTATCTATAAAGTCTTGAACTTTATGGTTACAAATGGAAACAAAGTAATTCCATTAAAACTCTATGATCCTGGTAGAAACAACTGTTTATGAAGCATCTAATGTGGAAGTTTGTGTGGAAAAACATGCATTTTAAAGATCCTTTACTTAAAAACTAACCTGATATGAAATGAAAAGCATTTAAATCTGGAATTAATTACAAACGTTCCATTTAAAATTGAATAGCTACAAGCAAAAATCCCAAACTGCGGACTTTTCTTTCATGTATAAACATTACTAATAACTTGTGCTGATTCACTTTGTGCCTGCGTCCTCTAATGTATCTGTAAATTAAAGAAAACTAAGTTTGAATCTAATCATTTGCAGCCTGTTTTATGTTCTCAATAAGCCACAAACAGATTTGTTATGAACATTAAATAGACTGCATAATGTGTAATAATAATAATGTGTGAGATTAATGCAGTAAATAAAAGGCTAAAAAACAAAAAACACACGAAAAACTGAACTGTTTGTGTCATCTGGAAGCAGCTTCAGTTTTCTTTCAGATTTAAGGATCTGCCTGTTGACACTTGAACTCAAGACAATATGACCAAAAAAATAAAAAATGCACAAAAGCAGCTGAAGGACGCTTCACGTTTCGACCAAAGATCATGCCTCTCCAGCTGCACCCTTAGTCCTACTCAGGGGTGCGAACAAAGAAACTGTGCTCATTCCAGTGAACATTGCTTGCATCATTTTAAAGGAGCATTTCTATTTAATACTGCACCTGAGCAATTTACAACCATATCATCAGAATATGTGTGTGAGCAACTTGGTTAGCTATTCGGCTGCTTTTGCATGTCTGTGTGTGCAGTGGCTGCTGCAAACTGGGCCGGCCGCCCTGCTGTGAAAACGCTGTGGGCCATTGAAGCAAGCTGTGACAGACGGGCCAAGTCACAACGCTTTGACACAAAACAGCGTCCGAGTGCAGGAATACTACGCTAACGCCACCACGCCCGGGCATTTTAGCTTCCCAAAGTCTGAAAATGACTTTGTTGACCCTTATCTCCTAATTACAAAATGAAACAACACAACAAATCAACTATACTGGAAATTAAGGGTGTGCAGCTTAGAAGACGAGTGTATTTCCTGAAAGTACTACTACACTGCATTAAAGGAAATGCAGAGACTTTCTGATGTACAGTACTCATTAGCTGCAATATTTATTTAACATAAAATCAAAGTCTACAAACTGGATTTAAATAATTATTAGGGGTGCACTGATAAATCGGCCCCGATTTGACAGATTTTTTTTGTTTGTTTTGTTTTAACTGTCCATGAGGTAGTGTTCTGAAATATAAATGAAATTCAGACAATTGTTGTTAAAACAAATCTGTATTGTTTCTAGGATTGTGTATGTTTTTCAAGAAAATAAGATTGGAAAGTTGAAGGTGCATTGTGACCTTATAACACCTGACAGTGTCGCTTATAAAACAAAATCAGTATCGGACAAAAATCGGAATCAGCAGGTCAGACTTTTTAGAAATCGGGGATCGGCGTTGAGCAGAAAACCGCAATTGGTGCAGCCCCTAATAATTATTTTGGTTAAATGAGCATCACATTATCAGTTAAAATGATCTACTAACATGCAATTAAGATATACTGAAGATTATTACACAATAACATGACAAACACCTCCAGCGTTAATATAAATTTAGATATTTGTTGTTGCTGTTTTGAATGCCTTTGGCAAGAGTGGGGAAAGTCGGGATTGAACCAGCAACTCCAATCGGCAGCCAATAATTGCACTGATTTCTAAATGATAAGGGGAAGCTTTTTGTTAAGACGCATGCTGAAACTTGAAAGCTTTTTAACAAAAATGCGCTTTTTGTGCTCGTTTTTTTTTTTAGCTTTACACGCATGAAGGTACAGACCACTTAATTAAGCAGCCTGCTGGCTCCTCGGATAAATAATGTTATTAACTTACTTTTACGTATATGAATGTTTCTGATCGGTGCCCTGAGATGACCTCTGTTGTGACTTGGCGCTATATAAATAAAATGAAGTAATTAAGACTATATATGTCAAAATGTGTGCTATTCAATATTATATTTAAGAAAACACGAGAATCAGACTAATATTCCAGGATCAGTCAGTCAGGATTTATTTATTTAATGTCTGACATATTTGGCTCTTTGTGCCTTTCAGCTCTTTTAAAATACGCATCCCAATAACTCATTCTCATGTGTTTATCTGCACATATGTGCAGTAGACTCGCAGTGGTTCCCAACCATGGTCCTTGAGGAACACCACCCTGCACGTTTTAGTTGTTTCTCTGCTCCAACACACCTGATTCAGTGGTTTAGTTACTGCCTTAAGTTCGGCAGAAGCCTGTTAATCACCCTTTCATTCAAATCAGTTGCGTTGGAGCAGAAGAAGTAAAACGTGCAGGGTGGTGTTCCTCAGGGATCATGGTTGGGAACCGCTGCAGTAGAGGACCACAGTGCTGAGTCACTTCACCTGCTGTCTGTTTCTTCAGCCTCTCAGACGTGACTTCACTGCCTGATGCAATAAGGAGCTGATCTGCTGAGTTTTTTTAAATGTTTGTAAACGCAGTCAGTGCATCTCTGAGTTATTAGTCCGAATAGGAAGCACAGGAGCACGTGCACAGGTGTAATAACCGCTCAGGGATGCTGGGAGGAGGAGGAAGCACCGGGGGCGGCTCCCCCTGAAGGATGCAGCAGTTTTGTTCAGTTTGTGCCCAGCTTCAGCTCACCTCCTCCGCGTGCTTCCTCAGCGCCTTTTCCCGCTCGTACTGCGTGATGAGCTGCTCGTTGTCCTCCTTCAGCAGCTCCAGCTCCACTTCGTGCTCCTGGTTCTCCGCGAACACGGAGTCCAGGTTCTCCAGCACGGCCACGACCAGCGGCATCAGCTCCTTCACCACGTCCTCGTCGTATTTGCCGATGAGCCGCTCGAACTCGCGGTAGATGGAGTTGGCCAGGCCCGACACCCGCTCCGACATCATCGCTGATGTCCCCGGGTCGTCCTGGTACACAACTCCGTCTTCCAGCTCCATTTTAGTCCTCTCCCTTTCAACAAACAGAGCCAGTGTGTTGTTATTTTTTTTTATCCGTGTTTCCCCGCCACAATGAACGCCTATATGTTCCTAATTAAAGCAGCCTTTCTTTAAACAAACGGATCCATGAGAAACCGCTCGCGGACATGTAATTACGATGCAAGACTAGCTACGTGGATTTCTTCCTATTTATCTCAGTGTTCCCGTGATGCGTTCAAACGCTCTTCAAAAGCTCGTACTTCTCTATTTTTATTTTCAGAGCGACTCGCGCTTCGTGCTTAAACGCAAATTCCTCCCTACACCGAAACATTGTATTTATTTGTCAAAACAGGCAAATAATTATCAGCTTCCCTGTGATTTGTATATCAACAAGCAACTTTAAAATATATGTTCACATTTATACCGGACTCAAGTGGAGATTTGGATTCGTTTTTTACTAATTAAAGTTGATAAATAAAAATGTTAGCACAAATAAACTGTACGTAAAAAGCCCACACTTTGGCCTGGAAGACAGCTAAAAAGCTAACCCCTTTTGTTTTAGGTTGAAAGTTCATAGTTTCAGCATTTACGACGATCTTTGAATCCACCGTCCAACAGCTGAGTTAACGTAATGACGTCACATCACGCTACAAATGAAGCCTTTTGCAGCGACGCGTTATTGTAGTCCTATTGTGTGAATTTACCTATTATGGTGAATATTTTAATTAAATTCAAGAAAGGAGATTTAAAATGAGATTTAATGGATAGCCTTTCTCTTTAAAATGCATTGATTTGATTATTGGCTGCCCCTTTTTTTTTTTACCATTTCCCATTTATTTGGTTATAAAGGGGACTTTATTTTATAGCTTGAATACATTTGAACAAGTACAACTCTGCACTGTGAACACTTCAAAACAAAAAAGAAAAAGCACCCTCAAGTTTCAATTGTTTATTATTATTATTATTATTTGTAACAATCACATCATAGCACAACACACTTGTATTAGAAGATAAGATAAGATAGCTTTTAATTCCACACATTTACAGTACTTGTATTTATATTCTGCATGTAACATTTTTCATATCTTAATTTTTGGAGAAGGTTTCCTGACTAAACTGTCTATCGTACCATAGCTGCAAAGAATTACTGCAAAACATGAATGCACAAAAATATCAGTAACTGAACACTTGAACTAATAAAAACAAAAGCATTAAGAGAGCCGTAACAGACTTGGAATAAATAGATTTGCTGTGTACAGTATCAGAAAAAAAAGACTCTCATGTGGTCATGCATTCATATCTATACAGATTAGGCCATAACTACAAGTGTGCCTTAATTAGAATATAATGTAACCTTACATTGGGACCCTGTGTAAACAATTTCGTTCCACCACATGTTCCACGTGTGGTGAGAATGACAAATAAAGAAACCTTAACCTTAATATTATAGATAAAGAACTGATTTATTCCCTTTAATCATTTTCGACATGGAAGAAGTGCCTTGGCAGAATTCAGATCTACTGGTTGTTGACAAAGTCTTCTCCAAAGTTGATCATCTGTCTGAGTGCACACAAAATGTGAACATTCACTTTATCATCTGTTTCTATTTCTGAGCTGTAGTTCTTCACAAGAAAAATGCAGTTTAATGGAATACCCAGCAGCTTGTGGATTATGTCAACCTAAAATAAGATCAATCACATAATTATTTCTTCATGAAGTTTAAAAACTTCAATGGAACATGAACATTTTTAAGTTACCAAAAAAAATTACTTTTTCTTTCAGGCTTTTGCTCTTGTACATGTTGTCCACATCTTTTTTAACCTCAGGACAGGCCTCATCCACTTTGGTGAGAATGGCCAGCTGTGGGATACCTGTTGAAACAATAAACACATCAGTAATCAATAGGCAGTCCACATGATGTATAACATAATTTATTTTATTTTATATTACCCAGATCACTTGCTGCCTGTCTGACATCTTTCATCTTCTTCACTACATCGTCAGCTATAATCTTTATGTGGTTGGCAGAGACAACAAAAACCAGAACATGGACTTTGTCAGACAGAGAGGGAAAAGAGTTGTAGCCAAATTTCTCCTTTGTCAGCGGGGAGTCATGAATGAACTAAAATAAAAGATAACAATTTAATTATTTGGTTAATAAAATAAACGCGGGTAATACAACATTTTTCTGGCTACCGTTGTTTGTTTGCTGTTGGTAAAAAAAAAAAAAAAAGAGTCAACAGCAATAAAAATGCAAAGTTCAAACCTCGTAACCGTCTTCCACATGTCCCCTCAGAGCGAGTTTGACGTCTTTCACATGGATGCCACCAGTTCCAGACTCGAGGCCCATGGTGTCAGTGAAAACAAAAGAGCAGCAGCTCTGATTGTCTTTTTTGATTTTGTATGTTTTGTACTAAAAAAAAAGATACAATATAAAACAGCTTAGATGAACGACTGAATAATACACAATGAAAACAGACAAAAAACATAAACTCAATTTGCAAACTGTCATTATCATTTTAAAACATTTACCTTCTTAGTAAAACTGGATCCAGAGGCTGCATCTGTCAAGGACCGCCCACATATTTGGCCCCGTACAGCACTCTCCACAGAGTTGATTAAACTGGATTTCCCAGCACCAGTTGGTCCATGAAGCAGAATTCTGAGGTTGCCGACTTGATTATTTTGAGGTTTATAAGATTTTACAAAATCAAGAATTCCCTTCTGGTCCCTGTCAAACATTAAGAAAAATTACTTTTTGAGATAATCTGTGATTTTCTATCTTCTTTGTGTTTCTTTTGTCTCTGTTCTCCCTTGTGATTTGTATTTTGCCTTCTGATCCTTGTGTTTTGACTCTGTTTCCGTGCCACTCGTCACTCTCCCCTCAGTCTCTCCAGCCACATCAAGGTTCTTTACTGTCATTTGCAGCACAAGCATGAGGTGGAATGAAATTGTGTACTCAAGGTCCCAGTTACACCCAAAAATAGCAAAACTATAAAGTATAAAAAGAAAAATTATACAAGGATCGAAGATACACTAAATGATAATAATAATAATAATGTAAAATGATATTGTGTAATAAACAGCAGCCTGAACATGAGTCTGTTGTGAGCAGATGGGTATGAACACAGCAGCTTAAAGGCAAGAAATCAGCAGCATGGGTGATCAGCAGCACAGATATGTATCACCAATTAAAGTGGCATTACAGTGATTTTTACGGTTAGGGATTCATGAGTCTAACAGCTTCAGGGTAGAAGCTGTTCCACAGTCTAGTGGTTCTACACTTAATGCTACACAACCTCCAGCCTGCGGGGAGCGGGGCAAAAAGTGACTGATCACTTATCACTCACATCCGTTTTGTAATTAGTACTCATCCCAGGTGCGTTCACTTCTCACTCTCCCTCACTTCTACTCCTCCTGATCACCACTCCATGTCGGCTCATGGTTCCAAACCCTCCAGATGTCTCGGTCCTCCTTGTGTTTCCCTCAGCCTGTCATGTTCCAGTTCCCTTCACGTGTATGCAAGTTTTGCTGCCATGTCAGTCTTTTTGTTTTCTTTATTAATATTATTTAATACACCATATTATATTATAGTATTATTGTTTAGCATATATCTTGGATTCTTATATACAGTTTCTTTTTTATAGTTTATATTATTGCTATTTTTGGAAGTAACTGGGACCTTGAGTACATAATTTCGTTCCACCTCATGACAATAAAGTCACCTTGAACCTTAATAAATCCTTCTTTATTCCCTGTGTCTGCCTGCACTTGGGTCTGACATCACCGGATCTTAATGCTTTTGAAAAATGGCAGCATGATGTCTATCTTTTGTAGCACACAATAGTCAGCCAGCACACAGGATGAAAACAAGCCCAATCACAAAAAACTGACTTTCTATTAATCATACTCACTCTGGCAACACCCTCCATGGCTCTCTGAAAAGAGAAGCTAAAAGAAAACATAGAGGGAAAACATTTAACGATTCTAAGAATAATGATAGATTTAAAACCTGTTAATGTATGTCATACCATTGTAATGCTGATTGAAATGAATACAAATTGAATATGTTGTAAGAAAGCAAAATGTCAAGACTTACAGAATGAAGCTCCCATATCTGTACAAGTAAGAAGGAAAGAAACGTTGCAATTAAACAGCTTTTAACAAAATATGTTTAAAATAAAAATTCTGACCTAGAACCATATTTTTACAATAAGTAAAGAAAAAGCAACTTTCAAATGTGTCGTTATTGTAAAAAAAAAAGCTTCAGATCATTGCAAATGTCTTATAAAGAGCATTTGACAACACATAGCACTTTACTTACTTTTTACATTATATAGTAAAACGGCTTAAATCAGCACAATAACCTTGAGTCAACAGCGAGTTCTTACCTGTTGTTGTGTGTGACCTTTCAGTTTCTTTCTCTTTCACTTGCTCAGATTAACCTTCTGCACTGATCACTTGATTTCAAGGACACCCGTTTGTTTTGACAGGTCTATCTGTAAAGAAAAATGTGCACAATCTGGTTCATGCAAGGACCCTTTCGGCTTCAACATGTCGCACCAAGATTACTATATATATATATATATATATATATATATGTTATATTTTTAACTCGTCATAGGTACTTTTTAAATAAACCTCAACATTAAAAAAAAATTTAATTCACAAAATATGTTTATTTTACAGCAAAAAATAAAAGAAGAAGACATTATCCTCTATTAGAACACTAAAAATTATATTTTTATTTTTTTTTATTTTTTATTCCAGTCTCTAGTTTTCTGAAGACCCTCTCCATTTCACAGGCCCTACTGATGAAAAACGTGCCCACATCATGATTCTGCCACCCAAATAATATGGGGATGGTCTCATTGGTTTAATTTTATCTCCCTTTAGCTTTTATTTTCTTAACCTAAACAATGTGATGTATTTGTAATCCAAGCCAATTATAGACTGATATCTAATCTAACTTTCATCTAAAAAATTCTTGAAAAAATAGTTGCTGGTCAGTTGCGTGAACATCTGCAAATAAAGAATCTGTTTGAAGAGTTTCAGTCAGGGTCTAGAGCTCATCATAGCACAGAAACTGCGATGGTGAAAAAAGGTTTGTAGGCTCAATCATCCAGGTAGATAACAAAAAAAGGTTAAATTATGTCATCTGGACCAGACGTCTAGACTGGACTATTGCAATGGTTTGTTATCCAAATACTTCTTTAAGAAAACTTCAGTAAATCCAAAATGCTGCTGCCAGAGTCCTAACTGGGGTTACTGGGAGAGATTATGAATTGTTAAAATTGAATAGTTTTCATTTGATACTATTTCTATCTTAACATGTGATTCTTGACCTGCCATTGTGTATCTGTTCCTACCAAACCCAGCAGGTGGAAGCAGATGGCCGCTTGTCCTGAGCCTGGTTCTGCTAAAAGTTTATTCCTCATGAGGGAGTTTTTCCTTTCCACTGTCGCCTTCACGCTTGCTCAAAATGAGTGTCTGCGATGAAGTTAAACTCAAAGCAGTCTGCTCCTCAGATATACATGTATAATGTTAACTTACTCTTTTTGAATGTTTCTGTTCAGTGCCCTGAGATGACTTCTCTTGTGACTTGGCGCTATATAAATAAACTGAATTGAAAAATTGAATTGTGTTTTGGGACAGTCATTAAAAAAAAGACAAGATAAACATTAGTGTTTTCTATCTGTAAGCACATTGCACAGTAATGGCCTCTGTAACGCAGTTTCATTTGATGTATATATGAATAATCTTTATTTAGGATACTGAGTCAGATGCAACCATTAAATTGACAACATTGACAAAACAAATCCGCACAGATAATTCATTAAAAAAAAAGCACAAGTAAAATAATGAATCTTAAAAATCAACCAGCGGTAGACCAATAAGACCAATTTTTTTGTACGATGCCCAACAAAACAAAACGTGTAATGACAAACAGGTGATTCTTATTTTATTTGGCATGTTTTTAACAACTGTCCCCCTGACAATTTATCTGAACTCTCTTACATGATCTCTGAAGTCTTCAAATTTCCACTTCCGCTTCAAACGCGAATGTTTTAGACACAGTAAGAATATCACTGGATTACTTTTCCGCTCTGACTTGTTCCTGTATCGTTATTTGCGTGATTACAGCTTCACATCCGTTTGTAAATGTAGATGACTTTGTTGCAGTTGGGACAGCGATGCTCCACGTCTTGACAGGAGTCGAGGCAGAACGGAATACAGCAGCACAGCCAGCATCTGCAGACGTAAACAGGCCATTCAGTTTATGTGATTTGTGTTCTGTCTGTTTGTTTCTATGTTGTGAATGATTTATTTCATTTTATTAAGATGTTCAATATTCTGCCAGTGTTTACCCAAACAGGGTGAGTCCACCACAGATAGCCCAGGTGAGCAGGCCTGCTGTGTGCTCTGTGTGTGTGATCACCGTCTGCTGGCAGTGAGGACACAAAGTCTGTCCGGGGACATCGTGTAGTGAAGGTGTCACCACCACATGAGTCACTACGGAGGACAAAAAACACAAAATATGTTTTTAAAATACAACTTTATTTAACACACTTTATTTCTCCTTTGTGGACTTTTTTTACATATTCTGCTCAGTGCCCTGACATGACTTCTGTTGAGACTTGGTGCTATATAAATTAACTGACTTGAACTGAATTGAATTGAATATACACTTGATCGTTGATAGGCAGTGTTGCCAGATTGGATGGTTTACTGCCAATTGGGCGGATTTCATTCTGATTTTGCTGGGAACTCTAGGAAGATTTTTGTTGGATTGCTGCGTTTTGCCACTTATCGTTAAATCACCTTGACATGTGCTGATGTGCGTTCATGTTCAAACACTGAATACACTGTAACGATATATTGTTTGGGTGGGTTTTTGTGTAACGTAGCAGTTGTGAACAGATTTTTAGTGTGGAAAACCTTGACTCTATCTGGCAACACTGCTGATAGGTGGTCATTAGTTCCACACAGCTAAGTCCTGACCTCTAGTGGATGCAGAGACAGAGACAAGATCTCAGTTCATGTGAGTGGAGTTCAGTTTGTGCAAAGAAATACAGACACAGAGCCCCAAAATGTTAATGATTAAGTGTGAATATCAGTGTTTTGGTTCATCCGTGAAGATAACATCTGTCTGTGAGTGTAACGTTTTATCTTAATACTGCCAAAAGAATAACTAGAAAGCATGATGTTGTGATTACTCTCATGGAGAAAACTGAATCATGGAGCACCTTAAAAACATAGTTTTGTTTTATATGTTTAACGTTAGCTAATGTAGCATTCTTTCACATAAGTATGACATATTTGAGGGAAAAGGTGTTTTTAACTCTGAATTGTATTTATTTATTTAAGCCCTGATGTGTCCATCCATTAGCGCAGCCTTGATGGAAACGTATGCCCTTTTCTCTACACTATTCTGACAAAACACCTAAAATTTAACCAATTTCCACTGCGACTGTTATAGAAAAACTCCCATCTGTCAAGAAGCAAACTACTCAAAACATAAATCCCTTGTGCATTTCATTGCTTTTAAGGGAGCACTTATATTTATTTACTAATTTTTCTCTTTTGGCTGCTCTCTTCGTCAGGGGACACCACAGCGAACAAAGCCGCACGGAGAAGCTTAGCAATTATTTTTACACCGGATGCCCTTCCTGATGCAACCACAGACCACTGAGCTATCACAGGCCTCTGTGTGGAGCAGAGAGCTGCCATCTAGGGCGCCCGGGGGAGCAGATGGGCTTAGGGGTTTTGCTCCAGGGCCCAGAGTGGGATAAATGAGGATGGAGACAGGTGTGGGTCACCTTTCCCACCCACAATTTGATGTTGTCGATACCGGGAGTTGAACCAGCAACCTTCTGATCACAGGCCCACCTTCTCTAACATCTGTGCCACCACTCCCATATATATAATAAATATCAAAATGGTATAAATATATATATATTCTGTTGCAACAGACTTTAAATGTGAGTGCATTCAGCATGTTTGAGCTCTAAATGTTGTCTGCAGTGATGCAACATGACCAGCAGAGGATGCAGGTCGTGCAACAAAAACAGTCTTTGTCCTCCTGTGTTGTGACAGAAACTGCCAAACCAACAAGGAGCACAGATCCAGTACTTATGGAGGAAGTGGTCATAATTACAGTAGTAGCACTGCAGCTGTCACTAACAGACAAAATAATGAAAAGTTATACATGAAAATGTGAGTAAGACGGTTTTATGTATTTGTCATAAAACGTCTGTAACAATAGGAGGGTTCTCCGCATGGGACTGAGCAGAGAATAAGCAGAACAATGGTGTTTTGTGGAGCGCAGAGGTCACAAACAATGATTTGAGTCACCTGACAGACCGTCAGCGTGCAGCAGTTTCACAATACTAAACTGGAAATGACACATTGTCACCATCTGTCTGCAGATGAACTCTCACACATCTGTGCAGCTTGTGACATAAATATTCTTGTGCATATGAAACATGGCTGAAAGTTTCATATTTTCTTTCCAATTAAATTTGCGTTGTTGTTGTTTTTTTTATTTATTTATTTATTTATTTATTTTTTATCAGATAGCCTCACCTGCTGGTGCAACTGTGGCAGGAGGAAAAGCAACGCCTGGGAGATAAAAGACACGATTCAGTAAAACATAAAAAGTAAAAGTCTTTGCATTAGATAATGTGAAACTTCATGATATGCACACATGGACTCAAATGATACAGAATTTTTTTTTTTTAACTATTAATGTTACAAACTTATGAACACAGGCTAATACCATATTTAGCATCACATAAAAGTATTTGTAACATGAGGAGTCTCAGCAGAGACCACACACCTCCCTGGTATCCAGCCGGAGGAGGACCTGGAGGGTACATCCCTGGCTGAGGGCCATAGTTCATGGGTGGGCCCGGGTAGGGGGGAGCAGATTCCACTCCTTTTTCCATCGTCAGAAATTCTGTTTGAAAAAATAATAAACAGTAATATAACGTTTTAAAAGGTGCCCATTTGTTTGAAAGTTGCAAAATAAAGAAGACAATCTGTGACCTATCTGATGCCAGAACACAGAAAATCAATTTAAGTGAACCATTTTTAGAAGTTTGTGAATATCTCTATTAACAAACCTTAAATCAGATGTAGTGAATTCTGGAGCGGTTGTATGGAAAAGCTGACGTGAGCAGCTTAACCTATGCGGTGGGTATTTTTACAGAGTAACCATATCCCCAGCTATCAGTCATGACTTTTCCTGTTTCAGTGGAGCACATCTCTGAATGTTTAAATGTACACCATGGACAGGCTGACAGTCCATTACAGGCCCGACACGCAAACGAACATCGAGTTCTGGACATCGTAGTGGGAATTTAGAATTGCTATCAAAGCATGCATTGTTTTGGACTGGAGGAGGAAATGGCTGTGGACGGTTTGTGGTGTACCTTGTGAAAACCCCTTGGGAGAAAATGTAGATAATATATAAAAATCTAAATAATGCTCAAACAAATAAATAAATAACTGGGTTTGTATTTTGTAGATGAAAATGTTTCATTTATCTGTGGAGCTTTCTCAAATCAAAACCGAAGAGTAAAAATTGGCATAGCTCCCCAGACGGTGGCATAACTTTTTCATATTCAGAAAAGAAACCCCGCTGCTGTTTTGTATCTTAGCTTTTTGGATTTCCAATGACCTGGACGAGTGAGAAGCCACGCCAGCACAATCCATGCAACGTCTCAGCCAAAATATCAAACCCATGATCTTCGCGCTGCAAGGCAGCAAAGCTAACCGACTACCAGGGTGCAGTTCCGTTTTCACACGTTTTAACCAAAAATCTCCAGGCAGAAAACTAAATAAACCAGAAGAGATGCATTTTTGTTTGATATATTTTTTTTTATCCCATTTTTCATTAAAAAGTGGTTTAATCAGCACTAACATTTCACATTTCATTTTCTTTTACCTGACTGATATTACTTTACAGTACCCGACTGAAGAATGTTTTTTGCAGCGGGACACTAGCAATTACTTTTACACCGGATGCCCTTCCTGACACAACCACAAACCACCGAGCTACCACAGCCCTCTGTGTGGAGCAGAGAGCTGCTATAGGGCACTCAGGGGAGCAGATGGTGGGGGTTAAGGGCCTTGCTCAAGGGCCCAGAGTGGAACAAATGAGGGTGTTTCACCTTTTCCACCCACATTTTGATGTTGTAGGTGTCGGGAGTTGAACTGGCGATTTTCCGATCACAGGCCCACCTTCTCTAACCTCTGCGCCACCACTCCCTACCTTTTTTTAATTATCTCTCATAAAAGCCATGAGGGAGGCTCGTGATACACGATGAAACATGTATAGTTTAGAAAGGTTAGTCCAACAGAATTAAAAAAAATGTTAAGTCTACAAAGTGCCCAAAGTAAAAATGACTGGTGCTTTTATTTTGATGGTCGAGTGGACCCCACCTTTCAATGAACACCAGCTCCACGTGGATGGATGGATGGATGGATGGATGGATGGACTTTGTGCTAGTTGTATATGCTCACAAATTAAGTGGGGAGTGGTGGCACTGAAGTTAATAGAAATTAGCCTGTGATAAAAACAATTTTTTTTTTAAAGTGCCAGTTTCAATCCCCCTAAATTGAATCATGTAACATCTAAATGTGGGTGGTAATGGTGAAGCACCCACGCCTGCCTCCACCCTTATTTGCCCCACTCTGGGCTCTTGAGCAAGGCCTTACCCCCCACCCACCCCTGCATCTGTTCTCCTGGATGCTTTATGGCAGCCCTCTGCTCCACACATGTGGCTGTGGTAGCTTGGTGGTCAGTGGTTGTGTGGGGACCCCAAAAGAAGGAAGCAGCTGAAATAAATAAAAGGGGTAAAAAAAAATAAATAAATAAATAAATAAAATTATATATTATTATATTTGGGGGCAGCACGGTGGCGCAACTGGTAGAGCTGCTGCCTCTCAGTGAGAAGGTCCCTGGTTCAAACCCCGGTCCAGGGGCCTTTCTGGGTGGAGTTTGCATGTTCTCTCCGTGCATGCGTGGGTTTTCTCCGGGTGCTCCGGTTTCCTCCCACAGACCAAAAACATGCATGTTAGGCTGATTGGTAACTCTAAATTGTCCCTAGGTGTGAGTGAGAGAGTGAATGATTGTTTGTCTCGTTTGTCTCTATGTGTCCCTGTGATGGACTTGCGACCCGTCCAGGGTGTACCCCGCCCCTCGCACAGTGATTGCTGGACATGGGCACCAGCGACCCCCGTGACCCAAAATGGAACAAACGGGTAAAGAAAATGGATGGATGGATTATTATATTTGTAAGCGTATAAATTAAACTCACATTGTTAATAAAATAAATTAATAAAGTAAAGGACAAAAACAAGTGAAATTGCAAATATAAATATTGTATCTCTTTGAGCTTTTCAGATAACGTTCAGACTTCTTGGGTTGTGTTGCACATTTATTATTATAATAAAGCGTTTTGCGCTTTGATCCAAAGTTTACATGCCTACTGGAGGTTTTGGTTAGAAGTGACAGCATAAATGGTACAAACTATTAAATCTATTGATTTTTGTAATCAACTTTTAAAATTTTATTATTTTTTTAATAAGCTGAGGTCAGAATCTTTTCCTCTGTAGCCAGTTTTAATTTTTTTTTTATTTTTCATGTTGTGTCAAAAGGCTGGGCTGTTTGAATGTGATGAGGTTATGCTGAGGAAGTATGACGTTTTCTTCTGCGCTAATTTATTATTTAATTAAATTTATGCCATTAATGGAAGGAAAACAGCCCCACAGCATTAATGTCCAGATGATCCATGCTTTCGTCACCCCTGAGATAATCATCCACATCTTCTTCCTCTCAAAGGATGTTTTAGGCAATTTAGATCTTTCCCCTCGTCCAAAAATAATTGCTCATCTGCTTCACTTTCAGCTACGAAACATCGCTCTAATTGCTAGACATTAAAACATTCCTGAATTGTGCAACTATAAAATCCTCTTTCTTATCTTTAAGTCGGACCCTTCAGAGTTTCCATTTCCAGCCTGATTGCTTTCTGTCAAACAGTAACTTTATTTTGACTCATCAAGGCAACAAAAGTCTATCGCAATCAACGAGCAGGAAGTTACACAAGAGGTCTTGGACAGTTAAAACATGTTTTGAAACAGCTTTAAATGACATTTGAGAGTTGGTGTTTTCCTTTTGAAAAGATTCACTATGTTAGTGAATTACAGCTTAAAACCATAAGAGCTAAAATATGATGATGAAAAAACATAAAGTGGCATAAAATGAACAAACACACAAAGCAATTTGCTGTTGGGACAGGGAAGCAATTTATTTTGTCAGTCATTTACTTTGTGGGAGAGGCTCAGTGCTGTGGATTACTTACTGTATGTGAGAGAACTTAACTCAGTTTATCTTGGATCAACAGCAGAACATCAGTCCTTTATTGCTTAAACCACAAAGTACACTGGTCAGTCCTCACAAAGCACACTGGTCAGTCCTAATAATGGCAAAGTCTGCTTAGTCCCTACAAGCCTTTTTGTGTCTCATTGAAAATTCATTCAGAATCAATAAGGGTAACATGAGCCACACAGTGATGAAGCAAGCCCTGTCACTGGACCATTGTACAGCTGCCTCGCCCTCATCGCTCAAGAAATGTGGCTTGAAATTCTTTTTTTTTTAAGTATAACACATTTATTCTATCAATATAGCACACATATATCTAAACTCTTTTTTTTTTAAATTCACCAGTTACCGTTAATCCAGATGTAATAATAAGTGTAAATATAATTGAACTTACCAGGGACTTCTCTTCCACATCAGCAACTAAAAGATAATAATAAAAAAAGTGACTTTCTGAGTTTAAAGATGAGTTTTTCTCCTTGATCTTCCTGATTTTGAGTGTGGAAACACAAGCAGAGCAAAAGCAGAACTAAGAGGGGACGAGCTGTCTGTAGTCCCAGAGATTCGATTTTACCGATGTACTGATTAGTTCCACCCTCTCCTCTCCTCCCCCATCCCATGTGACCAAAAGCTGCAATAAAGAAGCCTTTTTTTTCAAATCATGTTCACCAACAGTAAAACGAATGCAGCAATAAGAGAAACAGATACTGCATAAAAGGAGAAGCTGAGTCTGGTGATTGAAACAAAGTGTTCCTTGTTGGCTAGAATGCTTTTTTCGTCCTTCGTCTCATTTTCAGGTAGAAGCTTTATGTTAACAAGAGGAAGCGAGCAGGTTAACACATGTGTTGCTCTGCAGAAAGATAGTGTTGCTGATATGCTAAAGTGTATGTAAGTGTTTTACATAGCTGCCCACTGCTCCACCTGCATCTCAGGTGCGATGGGTTAAATGCAGAGAACTAATTTCGTCATTGTATGGGAACATACAATGATGACGACACTACATGAGGTAGAATTAAATTTTGTACTCAGGGTCCCAGCTACACCCAAAAAATAGCAAAAATATGAAGTACAAAAAAAGAAACCGTATACAAGGATCTAAGATTTATGCTACACCAGGGGTCCCAACCCTGATCCTTGAGGAACACCATCCTGCATGTTTTAGTTATTTCCCTGCTTTAACACACTTGATTTGAATGAATGGGTGACTAACAGGCTTCTGCAAACCCTGACGAAGTAATTCAATCACTGAATCAGGATCAGGGAAACAACTAAAACATGCTGGATGGCGTTCCTCAAGGACCATGGTCAGAACCACTGTGCTAAACAATAATAATGTAACATAATACAGTATATTAAACAGCAGCCTGAATAGTTTCTTGCTCTGGGTTCTGGGTGCAGGACTTGGCATGAAACCCTCCTGTGTGGAGCTTTTGCATTTTCACAGCCGTGGCTTCTATTTCCTCCTTTGACCAGACATAAGATTATCTTCTGACTGGCACTGCTGGTGTTTTGGACTTTGTTCTTGCCATTCAGCTGGCTCTTCCAGACCTGCTTTACTCTCTGTAGGTACTTGGTTGTGGCTGACTTTCTTGCGACTTCATCATGGTAGTCATTTGCCTGTGGGATTCCAAGCAGTCCTTACATCTGCAATGTTGCCTTCAAGTACTTCACCCTCTTTTCATTTATATTTACCTCTCTCTCTCTTGGAAGCAATTCAGCCACATCTATCCAATCTGAATGAGATTCCAAAGTTGTTATGAATCTCTTTTATTAGCAGTGTTAACAGGCCTGAGATCGCCACATTATGTTTTAATTTTTTTTTTTTTTTTCTTTTTCCTTCTTTTGGTTTCCCATCATAGCAGAAAAGTGGGTTGCCTCATTTTCACTGAACAAAAAGCATGTGAGTGTCAGAAAGCTAAACATACTTTATCTTACTGAATATTGTTTAAATCTTACGGAAAGCATTCTTCATAACCCCAGTGACGCTTCCACTGAGCATGGATCCCTTTCTGTTTCAAATCAAAATATGTGGGATACGCTTGAAGTAAATTTTCACAACAATCTTGCAAATCTAAATGAAAAACTTCCATTGGAAAACATAAAGTGTATGTGACATGTTGAATGTTGCTCTTTATTTGGTCCCTATTCCCAAAGACCTGTTGTGTCTGAACTATAAAACTTGTATAAGTTTCATGGATTCATGTTTTCCATTATTTTTGTGGGCGAGAGTGATTAAGCTCTTCATCACATGACTGACAGTAAAAGCAAGGATTCTGAGTCATCACAAGACAACTGGAACTTTACACAACACTTCTAATCTGACTCCAAATACAGAGGACGAGTGTCTGTTTTAATATACACATTTGGGCACAATTGTCATAACATGCCATTTACATCATGGTATAGATTTTTTCCTCATCATTTCCAGGCACGTTAATCATCATTATGTGTTTAGCTTCATAAATATGAAGTTACAATACCCACCTTCTGTCATCAGTCATTACTCCATGTTCTTTGCTCATGATCAGATTTCCATCAGTGCGTTCCACTCTGGGATGTCTGTTCTAGCATTACCATGTTTGCTTTACATTCTTTACTATTCAGTTATTTGAATTGTTCTGTAAATAAATCAACTGTGACTTGTATTTGCCTCTCATCTACTTATAGCTTCTATTGTGGTCTTTCATGAGAACAGGAAGCGGAGGGTTTTCTGTGGAAAGGCTGCGCTTCTGTCATATAAGTGTTAATCGTGTCGAGGGAATGCATATATATGAAGCATGCATCTATCCATCCATCCATCCATTTTCTTTACCCGCTTATTCCATTTTGGGTCACGGGGGTCGCTGGTGCCCATGTCCAGCAATCACTGTGCGAGGGGCGGGGTACACCCTGGACGGGTCGCAAGTCCATCACAGGGCCACATAGAGACAAACAACCATTCACTCTCTCACCCACACCTAGGGACAATTTAGAGTTACCAATCAGCCTAACATATATGTTTTTGGTCTGTGGGAGGAAACCGGAGCACCCGGAGAAAACCCACGCATGCACGGAGAGAACATGCAAACTCCACCCAGAAAGGCCCCTGGACCGGGGTTTGAACCAGGGACCTGCTCGCTGAGAGGCAGCAGCTCTACCAGTTGTGCCACCGTGCTGCCCGGCATGCATCGTGCACTATTATTTTACCATATTAATTATAACCTATTCCTGTTCCTTTACTGTTATTGCAATGTGTTCATAATCCTTTCTCTATTTGATAATCCTTCTTGATGTAACTATCAGTAATAAGACAGTGGAGAGGTCATCTTTTATTATGTTTGAGACTTATGAATGTTCTGCTAGAGACAGTGTAGTATTCCCTGTAATAATCCTTGATAAATGTTTACCTCCAGCTGCTCCATGTGTGTCTGTGCAGCTACTGGGTGGGTTCTGATAACACCAAGCACAGGTGCAATAAAGACAACCCCCATTAATGCTCTTCTCATAGAAACTGGTGAGACACCATTAGAAATGAGAAGAACAAAACTATCATTAACTTACTGGGTGAAACTCAAAGGAAGTAAAGAAGGAAATCCTGCAGCCACAACAATCCAGAACTGTTGGGAATATAACAAATATCAAAGAAATGGTTTTGGGTGGAAAATAAACAAATTAGATGGATTATTTGGAATAGAAAATAAAGATTTTGCACAGATTAGTCCAAATAGTGTTATTTCTCCATGGTTAATTCCAGAAAGTAAAGTAGACACAAAAATTCTTGAAATGAAAAGAGAATGGAACGAAAATGAAATGGGGGTGAAAAACAGTAAATACATTAGAGAGACATATTTTAGTTACCTGGAAATTTTTACATATGGCTCAAAGAACACAAAGGGGTGGGTTGGAATAGGGGTTTATATTCCAGAGTTCAAAGTTCTAAAATAATTTCTGATCAACTTTCAGTTCACAGCAGAAATGGTGGCAGTAATATTTAGTCTACAGTGGATAGAGGAAGTTAGACCGGACAGGGTGGTGATATGCACCGACTCAAAGGCTGTCATAGAAAGCATACAGTCTAAAGGAAACAACAGGAAAGATCTACTTCTAGAAATACAGCTCACATTATTCAGGTTACACAGGGGTGGTATGGACGTTCATTTTTTGTTGGGCGCCAGCACACGAGGGGGTGGAAGGAAATGAAACTTGCTAAAAAAGCATTAAAAGGTGAAATAACGGTAAATATTCCATTAGGGAAAGGAGAGGGTAACTCATTCATTAAAGAAAAAGAAATGGATGAATGGCAGAAAACGTGGAATGAGGACAAGAAAGGAAGAAGATTATATAAAATTCAAAAAGCAGTTAAGATAAATAATTATAAAGAAATAAGTAGAAGAGAAAAGGTGATAATAATGAGAATGAGGGTAGGACATACACTTCTAAATGACACAATGTACATGATGGGGAAAAGGAATAACAGTAGACGTGAGGAATATGGGGAAACAGAAAGTGTGGAACATGTGCTGATGGAGTGTACTAAATATATAGAAGAAAGGGAGAGATTGAAAGAAAAAGTCAAAGAGGCAGGGAGCGTATGGAGTTTAAGAGGAATATTAGAAACAGAAGGGGAGAAGGATAAAATAAGTAATGTTAGAAAAGAGTTGTTTATATATTTGCAAAACATAAATATTAAAAATAGAATTTAGGGAAAGGAGGCCATGAGTTACACACTCTTGCTCAGTAGGTGGCGGTATGCACCTGAACGTTGTTTGCAATCCGCCAATAAACTAAAAGAAGAAGAGAAGCAGAGCTGTCTGAAGCAGAAGGGTCAATGAGAAAAGGAAGAGGGAGGAAAAGACGGAGCAGAAAAAAAATCTAATTTTAAAAGTTGGGATTTTATTTTGAACTTTCAAGTCAGTAGAGTGAATAAAGTTTAGTTCAAGTTCAAACTAGTTTTCAATGAAAGATGACAACCACGTTTTGTTGGGACCTCAATACCGAGCTCCTGAACCTCAGCAACTGACTTTCTTCACCAGAACCAAGATGACGTTCAGAACCAGTCAGCTTCCCAGCATGAACAACTGTGAGGCAACCAACTCTGCATAAACAGAGCCAGTCTGGACCAAAACTTCAAAGTCGTGGTTTCAGCCGACTGTCAGGGCCGACCCGGAGAGGCAATACAGCTTCTTCCTTCCAACCAATGAAAATGACTCCTGGATGGCCATCAACTTCACGTTGTCATTGGGAAAACTCCAGTTGGTACAACTTTAGTGGCTGAGAGAGGGTATGATTGAAGTTACCCTACTGCTCGTTCAGTGTCGTTTGTGACATCACAATAATTACATAAGTTAAATTAGTTCCTTCACGAAACAGAGATAAATAAATATATTTTAACAAAGAATTAGACCAAATCTGCCTTTAAAGTTTCAGGAGGACCTTCAGGAGGATTAATCCTCACAAAGCCACTGGCCCAGACAACATCCCGGGGGGGATGCTGAGATACTGTGCCAATAAGCTCTGCAAGGCGCTGGCTGACATCTTTAACTCCTCCTTTGCCCTGGTAACTGTTCCCACCGTGGAGACCGCCACCATCATCCCAGTTCCT